AGAGTCTTGATGCCTTAAGTTGCCATTAGAGGTTAGGTTTGGGACTATGGCTTATAGAGGGTTTTAAGGGATAAAGTTGGAAAATTTATCCATAAAGACCATAGGAAGGACCATATCTAAGCTTTGGGGGCTTAGATGGTTGAAGGAAACGACTTAATGGTTTAAGTTGTCCAGACCCATCACCACAACGTGGTTAAGGTTACCACGACGTGGTGACTTGGTCAAAGCCCACCTATTTTGTCGGTTTTTAGCCACAATGTGGCGACTAGCTATGTTGACTCTGACCAAATTTGACTTGAGGGTATTTTGGGTATTTGAGTTATGGACTAAGATTTGGTCACTATTTGTTGTAAATTTGATCAGTAGATTTTGTATTCAGAGCAACGTGTAGATCAACTATCTTTTCAGACTGAGAGGTGAGTTTTCCTCTCTATAATTGTGGGTCGAAGGCACCAGTGTTGCACACTGGATAATGTATTCTGGTTAGAGGATGTTGTTATGTTGTATTGAAATTCTAGAATTGAGTCCTGATGTATATAGGATATTGTTATGCGTTAGTGATCAGTAAATCTGTCTGTTTTCCTGTTAACTGGTTATATGCTATATGTTATGTATATATCGACATGTTATTGGGGTTGAGGTTTTACTTCTTTGTGCATGAACCAATAGATTCCATTCTGATGACTGAGTAGACCCGAGGGTATTCCAGTCCGATGACTAAGCGAACCTGTGCATATAGGCATTCCTATCCGATGATGTGACATCCCTAATTTCACGGCCAGAAAAGACCGATTCGTTTATACTTTGTTTTAAAATCAGAGTAATCTTTTAAAGAATACAGTTGTGGAAGTTGTTCCCAAAACAAAATGTGATAAGAATTTATCAAAACATCTCTTTTAAGATATGTATTTTCATTAAATAACAAAATCTCGAGATGTCATGTTCCGATACAGACCAAAAGCATAATCAACATTAAATAGACCTTACAATAGTTATTTATAACTACTGATCTATAATCCAAAATCTCTCGTCAATTCCACCAACTTATACCCTTGTGTCATTACATGTAATGCAAAGAAAACTGAGTGTGTCAGGCTTGGGAGCCTGGTGAGCATATAGGGTTTTCAACCCACAATAATATATTTATTATATTCAATCATCAAACAATCAACCCAATTACCCATCCCCATTATCTTCTTTATTTCTTAAGGTTTTACCCTAAGAATCGACTATCCTTCCTTCATTCATTCCTAAGGAATTACCTAAGGAATTGGCACGAAGTCCATTGCTGCCAAAGTTTATCTATTAGGTACTAAATCCATAGCTATCAGGCGCTAACTCCATAGTCACCAAGGTTTATGTAACATGCGCTAACTCCATAGTCACCAAGGTTTATGTAACAGGCGCTAACTCCATGGTCACCAAGGTTTATGTAACAGACGCTAACTCCATAGGCACCAAGGTTTATGTAACAGGCGCTAACTCCATAGTCACCAAGGTTCACTTAACTGGTGCTAACTCCATAGTCGATGGGGTTTATCTCGTTTATTGACAGTATTGGTTCTGAGACATCCTCTAGCAATACATATCAATGGGTTTTTAGAGTATACCGATGAACATCAAGTCCACAACACCTACAAGTTGCGAGCTTGATAGTGTTCCATAGGACTGTCTAGAATAGTCTGTGGTTGTCATCCCTACTCTACTGAATGACGGGGGCCATCGTTTGGGTAAAGGTTTCACTCATTTTTTACCTATCACCCTCATCTCGTGATCTATGTCATCTTTCGTCTCATCCTCAAACTAATCTTTCCTCACACACCAACTATTTCATCTACCCATGTTCTACCCAACATATTTGTAGATATAAATTACATATATAATTTAAATCATTTAAAATTTGTATAAAACATTCATTCAACAACCATATCAAGTAAACAAACAACGTATAAACACATAGCACGTATTTCATAGCAAATAATTCATATATATGCGGTAGAAGAAAGTAACTACACACTCACTTGATTAGACGATGCTCGGACAGCACTACGGCTCTAAGAGTAGTATTTCTTGATTTCTTTGGTGAAACCGGGATATCTTCTCACACCGGGCTTCTCGGAAGCAGAGCTTCGGCTCGGAAACACTTTTCTTCTCGGGATCTTCGGGGCTTCGGGACTTGCTTTAGGTCTCGGGATGATACCAAGGCTTCGGGGGGTTAAAATAGGGCTTAGAGAGGGTATCAGGAGTGGGAGAGAAAAGATTGTGCAACCAAACTCGGCTGCCCTTGAATTCTATTTATAGGGTCATTTTTCTGGATTCACGTCATGAATCTCAAAGACCCAAAGTCCATTGCTTGGCCCAATCCCCTTAATGGGTCTTACCTTAAGCCCAAACATATCCCTGACCCAAAACATCTGATTCTTGATGGCCCATTGAAGCCCAAAGACCCAAAGTCCATTGCTTGGCCCAACCTGAGGCCCAAAGCACTACAAGCTCAAAACTGATGAGTACGTATGGCGTACTTCTTATGTACGCTAAGCTTACTGACTGGAAGTGATGTACACAACGCGTACTTGCATGTATGCCCAGCGTACTCCTCTGTTAAGCTACTTTTCCATTAAGTGCTTAATACTTGGGATTTCCAACATCAGACTTCAGATATAGGTCCATTAAGACGTCATAAGGCATAAAGTTGGCAACTTTATGCCTTTGCATGCTCCATATGCTCTCAACAACCTATTAAGACCTTTCCAAGGGTCTTGATCCATGCACGAGGTTAGAATACTCATCAAGGTTGCATTTTTATGAAGTAGATAGACCAAAGGACCTCAGATCTACTCTCCCTAAGCTCTGGAGTTGCTTAACTCCCAAGAGATAGTCTAAAAGCTCATAAAAACACCAAACAAGCCCTAATCTAGATCTCAAGCTATAAGATAACAAGGTAGAAACTTTATACCTTCTGAGATTTGCAAATGAGCTGGAGAACCTGGATCCAAAAGCTCTTCCCTGATCAATGAAACTCCAAGATGATCACTCCTCTTCAAGAACACCAAAATGCACTCCAAGATGGCCTTACAAGCTTACACTCTCACTATTAGGGTTAGGGTTTTGAAGAGGGGTTTAAGGATGAGAAGGAGGTTGGCCCTAGAGGGTGTAATGTTCTTTATATAGTGTCACACCCTAAAATTTAGGGTTTAGTGACTCTGGGCGTACGTCTCCAACCACCCGCGACCATTTTGTCCATCTACGCTGGGCGTACTCTCGAGCTGGCCACCTTGCATGCATAGGATCATCTTGTGACTAATTTCCATTAGGGACTAAAATCGATAATAAATACCAAGTGTCACAACTCCTTTATTCCAAGTCTGTTTCCGACGAAGTTTATATCCACGCAAAGGTGGTGGGAAGCCCTATGCTCCCCTCGACACCTCCAAGCCTAAAACCTTTCAGATAAATCCAGGTACCCATAAAAGACCGAATCGCCCCTACCCTTTTGGTTTCCGAGGCCCTAACTGAGTAATTTCAAACAGGGAGTTACAATTTTTAATTTTCATATAATATTTAAATGTATTAATTATAATAATTAATCTAATAAATAAAGATATTGTCTGCTACATGTCACACTCTTATTCATTTTGTCTCATGTCATTTTGTGGTTATTTTAAATTAATTTTTTTCACATGTCATTTTATCGTTTATTTCTATTTTTAAAGTCCACATAATATTTAAATGTATTAATTATAATAAATATATAATAATTTCATTAATGCAATTTCCTTTTAATTTCAAAATTCCTAATTAAAGCCTAATTATTTCCTTTGATTTATTTATTTATTTATTTTATTTACAATTAGAGTTTACATTCTTCATGGTTTTCAAGCCTTTTTGTAGGGAAACGAAGGACAAGTAAGACTTAAGCCAATGTATCGGTGGTTGAACCATGTGAGATTTGTTTTCTGTTGTTAACAACACTATAGCCAATGCCATTAGTGTATGGGTTCGAACCATGGTTCGGGTCATACTTAGGTAATAGGAACATCCGATTGTTGAAATTATGGTTCATGGTTAGGTAATAGGGACATACACATGATCAATAAGGATTTTCTCTTTTCTTCATTTGGAGATTGAAAGATGATCCCAGAGTTTGTGAATTGATGATTTTGGAAAATCAATGGAGTTAACGATGCTTGTGAGTGAGCTTTTTGTTGTTGGGTTCGACGATGATGGCAAAAACACAAGGTGAGCATAGAAAGAGCGCAAGAAAGAAGACGAAGAATGACACATATTAACTTAGATCATATAATATACATTAGTTTAAAGATAATCTTCAATTAAGTCCAAATATTTTGGTTATTGGTGAAAAAGATAATGAAAAAACCAAAAATCGATCATTTAATGAAAAAAACCCATAATTTGGATTGGTTAATGTAAAAAGATGAGATACCAGCAAAATCTATAAGAAGAGTTATTCTGATCTGAAGTTTCAACCGATAATCTATTTATTTTTAATAAATAAAATTTAATTTTTGAATAAACTCTAAACCGACAAAAATGTTAAAATTTTATTAGAGATTTCCAATGTCTATAAAGATAAAAGGCCGAAACTCATTGAACCTTGTATTCAAAATTTGCGTGCGGGAAACCGAAAGAAACTTTTTGGCCCATTGGAAAGCTTAAAGCGGTTAAAAATAAATTTTTGTACTTTGATTTTTGTTTTATATATTTTTTTGGTAACACATTATTTAGAGACGTATGTATTATGTAGCATACTAGAATACTAGAATTTTTATATATTAAAATTTGATATGCTTTATTTCCTATGAATAAATCAAACTTTATATAATATAACGAATTAATATTACTACTACTTATCTTTTTATTATTTTATTTATTTATTTTGTAGTTCATCATATAAGTTTGTGATGTTTTGATGATTTTTTTTAATATTTATTTTGTATTTTTATTTTATTTATAAGCTTAAATTTAAAATCGAAATCGGTAACCAATCTGTTTTTTATATATATATTTACATTCATGAACAGAAGATTTCCAAAGATAAAGAAATGAACAAAACCGAAGAAAAATATTAAATTTCAAATATCAGCAACTCGTGTTTCTTGAATTTCAGATATAGAAAATGGTGACTTTTGCTCTTTGAAATTTCTACTGTGTGCGTTTTTTCCGGAGCTTCCCTTCGTTTTTTTTCTTCCATCTCTTCTACTCTTGTGTCTGCTAATTTTCTTTCCCAAGTTTCCGTAAAAAAAATATCACATCTTTCTTCCATCTGATTGGAGATTTGAACAATGTGTTCGATAATCGCAACCGGGTATCTCTCTATTTTGTCCCTTCTTCTGTTTCTAATCTGAAATTAGTTGCTTTTTTCAATTAGTTTATTTATATTTTGAACTTGGTTTGTTTGTTTATTTTTGTATTTTTCTCTTGGATTCTTTCATTAATGGCCGATATATTTAACAGAACTCGATAACCATAAAACTTTATCGTTTACGGTTGATACTCGAGATGGGTATGTATGAATGTGATCTTTGTTGCTCGTTCGTCTTTCACTTGCCTTTGATTGTTGCTTACACAGATGAGTTTTCATAAAACGAAACAGTTCTTCAGCAAAACCCGAGATTTTCAAATCCGTTATAATATTGTTACATTTTAATTTAGGGTTTGCGATTTTGTTTATTTGGCCACTTCGGTTCAATTTCTCTGCAAAAATGGCAATTTACACACCCAATTGGAGTAAGTCCGTGTATTCTTTTGTTGTCAAAAATCGTTATCTAGGGTTTTGACCTTTTTTTACATCTTCTTTTAAAAGGAAACCCTTATCATTTCTTCATTTTCTGGGAATTATTTGATTTAAATTGCGAATTTGATGAATAAATTTAGTTTTAATGTCAGATCTGATTTTACCTGTCCTGTGTAGATGGCTTTAATGTTGTGAATAGTTTAGACCAAAAATCGATTTTAATTAACTGGTTTTCTTTCAATTTCACCTACTTTTATGCCAAATGCAGAATATTAGTTAATTGAAGCTAAGAGTTTCATATTTGAATATTGACATTGTTGTTGTGCTATCATATTTTCTATTTTTTTTTTCCGTTAATCATTGGTGTTAAAAGTAGGTAACTAATCTAGAAAGTGACAAAAAAATTGATTATCATTTGGTTGTTGAGCAAGATCTATTTAGCTATCTGTAATCATATCTTCTTTATGCAATGATTAAATTGATTATCTTATGCTTTTTATCAACTCTTAATGAGTATGTGATTTATTTCATGATAAAACATGTCAATGCTGTTTCATAGCCTTATTAAAGATGGTTGGTGGGAGAATATTTATAGCACTTAAAGTGGTTTAGAGTTTCACCTACCATTTCTTTGCAATTGCAACATTTCCATTCTAGGTTAAAGATTCTTATTGATGCTATTATTGAAGGGTATTTTAGGCATTTAGTTAACAACTTAATGTTAGTTTCAAGTGTTTGAGTAAAAGTCACTATGATTCCTTTACATATGCCGGCTTCATTTTTCTATTACATAGTAGAGACATTTGGTCAAAATTCAGAAGATTTAATATTCATCTTTTTTTTTTTTTTTTTAAATATATATACATATTTATATAAATTATGTTTAACAGATGCTACCTGTGCCTTTTGAGAGCAACAATCAAGTGAAATCAACGAATATCATCAAGATTCCAAAATGGCTCCAGGTGGAGGTGTATGCAAAGATGTTATTGAATCTCACCCTAAAACTTTAAAGTATGACGTGGCAACAACAAAAATGGATAAAAACATTACAAGGGTAGCAACTGGAAAACATGGAATCCAATCAACAAATGGTGTTCATGAGCTTCTTGAATGCCCTGTTTGCACTACCTTAATGTATCCTCCAATTCATCAGGTTAGTAAAATCGGTTTCCTACAAACAAATTTCACTAGAATCATCAAATGAATACAAATTTATTGAGTTTTTGTATTTGTTTTCTTTGTAGTGTCCAAATGGGCATACTTTATGCTCAAACTGCAAAGTTCGAGTGCACAATTGTTGTCCAACATGTCGAGTTGAAATGGGAAACATACGATGTTTAGCATTGGAAAAAGTAGCAGAATCTTTAGAACTCCCATGTAGACACCAAACTCTTGGATGCCATGACATCTTCCCTTACTATAGCAAGCTAAAACACGAACAAAATTGCCGATTTCGCCCCTACAATTGCCCTTACGCTGGATCCGAATGCTCAATCACGGGTGATATCCCGTATCTTGTCACACATCTTAAGGATGATCATAATGTGGACATGCATGATGGATGCACTTTCAACCATCGATATGTCAAATCCAATCCACATGAAGTTGAAAACGCAACATGGATGTTAACAGTAAGTAACGAAACCGATATCTTGGTTATGAGAAGGGTATTTTGGGAATCTGATTATTTTTTTTTGGATGTAGGTGTTCAATTGCTATGGAAGACAATTTTGTTTGCACTTTGAGGCATTCCAGCTAGGAATGGCTCCGGTGTATATATCGTTTTTAAGGTTCATGGGGGAGGATAGTGAAGCGAAGAAGTTTAGTTACTCGTTAGAAGTTGGAGGGTATGGACGTAAATTCACATGGCAAGGAGTTCCGAGGAGCATACGCGATAGTCATAGGAAAGTGCGCGATAGTCAAGATGGATTGGTGATTCCGAGGAACTTGGCGTTGTTTTTCTCGGGTGGAGAGAGGCAAGAACTCAAACTAAGAGTTAGTGGAAGGATTTGGAAAGAACAGTGAGAAGAAAACTGAAAAAGTGTGTGTATAGTTTTGGTGGCTAGATTGGTTTATTATGAGAAAACAAAAACCCTAATGGGGATTGGATTGAGAATCTTGTGATCTTTTGTTTTAGTATTATGAATATGGAACTGTGAAATGTTGGAATGATATGGTTTATGTATGAACCAAATGATCATGTAATCTTATAATTTGTTGCGGGATTTGAATGCTTGTTTGAAAAATGTTTTTTTTTTTTTGTTGGTTGATGAATAAGATTTCAAAATTATTTACAATTTTTGTGGGGATTTCGAATTTCGATTGTGGAAGGTTAATTGCAAAATAATAATAATACACAAAAATATTGGAAATAGAGAGTTAAGAGTTGCAAGAACCGATTCTTGAGTTGTATCTATTTCTTTTTAACGGATAAGTTTTATTAAATTAACAAGGAGCTAAGTAAACAAAATAAAATTACAAAAACTGAGACACGATCCTATCAAAAGATCATCTTTTTGACACAAAAACCACATAAGTTTAAAATATCTAAATACCCTATAAGCCATAATGTTGTTAAAATCACTGCATTCATTTTCAAGCACTGTATATGTTTATTAAGACCCGGGTTATCCACTTAAGAAAGTCATTATCTTATTATATCTCTTATTATAGTACCAACTAACAAGAGAATAATAATAGCCCACCAATACTCAATTATTTGTATTCGGATATAAGAAGCCGCAACACAAAAATAAAAGACAAAATTGCAAATTTGGTCAAGTGGTTTGTCAAAATTAAAATCTTTGGATTGTATCATGGTCAAAAATACAAATATTATTGCGATTTTGGTACTTGGTAATTGTGAAAGTACTATTTTGCCCTTGTCATTTTCTTTTTTCTATTTCTTTTATTTACTTAATTATTTTTAGAATTAAAAACAAAAATTAAACATTCCACCTAATAACCCCATGCAACCTAAACCCTTCATCTTCCAACACACACACACTTCTCTTTCTTCCCACCAACAGACAACCGTAAATCACCACCATTCTCGCCGGAAACCAACGCCAAATCGTCGTCATCTTCTCAATTCGTCTTCTCCATCGGAAATCACCACCATTCTTGACAGAAACCATCACCAACTTCGCCATTCTCACTGTTAATCAGTTGCCACCACCGCAGTTCAATGTTGCATCCACCACCTTCGTCTTTCTCCTTATCCGGCGAGCCGCCAATGATTAGGGTTTTCAGCGTATCCGCTAGTGTCGTCGTCCTCATTTTCTGAAACCCTAGCGTCGCCGCCGATCTGACGAACAGATCCGCTGCAACTCGACCTCATTTTATGGAACCTCAGTGTCATCGTCGATCCTGTAAACGACGAACCCCAAACGTTGTTGGAAAATCGAGGGAGAAGGAGATCATCTGAACCAGAGAAGAAGAGAAAAAGGTGATGTTCGTCGATCTAAGCCGGATAATAAGATAGGTTTGCCCAGATCTAACACTCGCCGTACCTGCCTAGATCAAGCCCAAACTTCGACGTTGGTATAATGTATGTGTGTCGATTATGGATACCTTGTAATCTGGGCTTTATATTTTAGGCATGGTTGCAGAAATCGCTAATCGGTCACTAATTGGTGGACTAGCGATTAGGGATTAATCGGTTAGGTGGATTTAATCGGGGACCATTATGTATTAAGAAAATTATTCAAAAATATATAAATCTAATTTTAATCCTACAAAAAAAGTGATTAATCGGTGATTAGGTCTGATTAGGTCCGATTAATTCCGAATTTGACCTGTATTGACCAAACCCGATTCTCGTGACCGATTAGCAATAAATCTCATCGGTGGAGGTCAGATTAGCTATTAATCGGCCGATTTCTATAACACTGGTTTTAGGTTTGATCTTCATCTTTTTAAGAAAAAAAAAACGAGATCTTCATCAGGTTTCGGATCTTCAACCATTGTGTATTTCTGACATTTCTTTCCTTGATTTTTGAATTTTATGTATGAGATGAACACAAGATTAAGTATGGAAAAATAATATGGTGCTTTTATGTGTATGTTTGTGTTGAATCTAGTTCAAATCTTCATTTGAAAATGGTTTCCAAATCTTCATCTATTTCATCTTTGTATGTATATATTAATATATCTTTGTATGTATATATTAATAAGGAGGAGAGAGCGAAGGTTTAGAGATTTCATATTTCCTTAGATTTGTTTAAGTTCATCAAATAATGGCGACTAGTGGACAGTGGTGGTGGAGGCGATGGCGACCGGTGGTGGTGGTGGTGTTAATTAGTGGTGGTGGCGGACCGGTGATAGTAGTCTAAGAGAGAAGGGTGGGTAATATTTTATTTTTTATTTTCTTTTTAATTATTGTATTAAAAGGGAAATAAAAAAACAAATTAAAAGGAGTAAATCCGTCATTTTGAAAAAATTAAAAGCTTTTTGAACAAAACTTGCAACAAAATAATTTTTTTGGACCTGTGGTACAATTCCAAAACATTTTGGACCAAAGCCCTGATTTTTAACAAATCATAGGGACCAAATTTATAATTTTGTTAAAATAAATTATATGGTCAGTCGTCTCCATAATAATATCCCACCAACACTCAATTTACTTTATCTCTCGCAAAATCCTTACTTTTATTTTATTTCATTCACAAAAAAAACAAAAACCCAAAATGCCTTATAAGTATTGTTAAACACTAAATAAAATTCAATCAGTTTCTTTTTGACTAATCATGCCGGACGTGAAATATGTATTAAATTGAAGATCATGCTCACAAGCATATGGCTTTGATATGATTTTAGATTTCTTTTAATAATCAACTAATTATTTTTAGTTTTTAATTTATACGACAAAGTAATCATCTATATAGATTATGAACATTTCATTTTAAGACTAAAAGATGCCCCGTTTTATTAGTGACATGTTTAATGATCGGTTGATACCGTGTGGTATTTGTATAAATACATATACTATTTAATATTGTTACTAAATTGATAAAGAAAATCAAATATTATTGCATCGATGCAATATCAATTTCAGATTAACGCGTTATTTATTTCAATCATAAAATAAAACTAGTGTAAAAGGGCGCTCCCAAGAGAAAAATGTTACAATTTAATGATCAATTTCTTTCTTTTAGAACACAGACTTCGTCTTGTTTAATTCACTTGCCGACTAGATTTATTAACATTGAATTCTTTAAAGATATAACTCAAACATTAGTACAAAACTGATATATTTACTACTAGATCACTCACACACGAACAAGTTTCAAAATGATAAACCTTGAAGGAATCACTCATACTATCTTCTTTTTTTTTAACAGAATAAGATTATATTAAAACAATAACAATATGTTAGAAAAAATACAAGGGAAATAAACCTCCAGATGTGTTTTATAAACAGCAACCCAAATAACCTTACATTTGGTGTTTCTATTACAAATCCAAACACTAGCAACGATCTATATTAAACTAGTAAGTTGAAATTACAATCTTTCTTTATGTGAGTGATTTACGAATGTTTGGATAGGAAGTCATATTCTTCTCCGTCGCCTTTTATACTGAAAATTGGACCTGATAATGGAGCGAAATTTGACCCTAATCCGCTCCAAACCCGTTCAAAGTTAATGAGTTTGGATCATATTTTATAATGTTTTTATCCATTAACGATCCGTACCCGTTAACCCTTTTATTAAAAAGGTCGGGTATGGATCACTATCGATCCGATCCGTTTATGACCCACCTCATCTAAAATTTTAAAATTTAAATTTATTATTTATAAGTTATACATTTATCAATCATCGATGCAATGTTTGATACATGACTCAAGGAGTTGGATCGTTCCACTTCCACTTCCCTGTTCCTAATGTCCAATTTCGAGTCCACGCCCAATACAAATAACTATGTGAAATCATACAAGTTTGCAACAGTAGACATTTGTTTTGTTTTGGAAATTTTATTTACTAAGCAATAATTGAAGTTTATTTGGAATAAATTTTTACTTTTTAATGATATATGTTATATATGTTGTAATGCATAATGATAGTCTAATCTTAATATTGTAAATGGGTCGGGTAAAAAAGTTGAAAATCCATTGATCCAGTGGATAAGGTATGAATTAAGTTATTCAAAATCCTGCGGGTTACAGATAATTTGGATCAACATTAAAATTGCTTAATGAGTTTGGATAAAGGCCAATCCGCTCCAAACCCGCTCCATTGTCAGGTCTACTGAAAATGGTTATACTAAAGATGGCCATGTTGGATTCCTTACCCATTGACCCGGATTTCCGATTTGACTTTTGACATGATTCAATGGTCAAGCCTTGATAAACTTCTCGATCAAATTTGTCCCTTAACGGTTAATTATTGGCTTCTGCAGTCGATCGAATAGAACGTAAGTTAAGCTATATGACTACATAATCTAGTTTGTCTCGTTCTCTTTTGGCATCAACACTATTGATTCCTTTAAAGTGTTAATGATCGAGTGCCACATATAGCTTGACCTTTAGATTAAAATTTCCACTTAATTCAAATTTTAAAAAAAAATTATACTCTTTATAAGAACTCTTTAGCTTTTATTAAAGAATATTTTCAATTGATCAATTATTTGATCTTTGGGGTGTTAAAGATATTATAAAAGCTTACTCGGTCGAGTGGAATTGTGCATGAACTCTACTCGGTCAAGTGGATTGTCAAAGTCTACACCAAAAACTGAAAAACTTGTCCAAATGGTTTTTCTACTTTGTTTAATCTGATTTCAATGCTTCTATCACTAACTTTGGTGGCTTTTAAAGGTTTGAATATGTCCAATACATTATCTAAACATGAACTGACTTTTCTGTTACATCATTAGCTTGATCACATCATGAATCAAAGTGATCATCATCATTAACTCCATTTTTATGCTTTAAACTTGAAGATGATCACTAGATTAGGTATTCACCCATTATTTGCATAAAGGATGTAACAAATCAAGTCCAAATCACTTTAGAACCTTAATAACAAGACCAATTTCCAAATTCATTAGACCTATGGTTTTTTTTTTATCAATACAGAACTTAGAACTGCATTAAAAAAAATGGTAAATAGCATAAAAAATACTTTTTTTACATAGAAATTCGATTTTGACACCGTTTTTGTGTCAATTTTGACACTGTGTTTTCCAATTTGTTACAATTCTGACCACTTGACCGGTTAACCAGGTTATATGCTGACGTGACATGATGACCTATCAGTTTTGATGAT